AGCGGCAGACATTGCAATGAATGCTCGGCGTTGGCAAGAACATCTCCGCGGCCGCGCCGACTGGAGCGCGCCCGCGAAGAGGCCGGCAAATTGGGCGCGACCGACAGGCGGAGGCGCTGACCGCCGGGCACATCCCAGCAGGCACTTCACTGCGAGTCGGCGACTCGGGCGGGCGCGGCATCACGGCAACGTAGGCAACTGACGACGATGATAATAGCGATGCTGGCGGCGATGTCGATAACGACGACGGCGCGGCCAGCGACGGCACCGACGCCGATCGCGCCGACGACGGCGTCGGCGGCCCCGCGTCGGCGACGCAGGTTCTGGAAGGAGTTCGACGCGCGAGCGCGGCCGACGCGCGAGAATGACCCGCGCGGCATCCTTCGCCACGGATTGCGCCCCCCCCCCCCCCCCCCCCCCCGCACACACACACACACACGCACGCACACACACACACCACACACACACGCACACACACACACCACACACGCACACACACACACGCACACACATACACACACACACACACACACACACGCACACACGCACACACACACACACACACACACACACACACACACACACACGCACACACACACAGCACGCGCGCAAAGGCGCGCGAATGATCTCGGCACGCGGCGCGAGGGGCCCGTTTGGCAGAACTCCGTGCAAATCTTGAAACACCGATGCCTTTTTCATAGAAAATCCGCAAGAGCGCGAGCGCAAGCTTTCTTGAGAGCTGACGTTGCGAGACCACGTGCTGCCACATGTGTTTCGGACACTCGGTTTCGCAACCGCTACACAACCAAAAGTTGTGCAGATTTCGGCGCGCGCGCGACGACGCGCGCGCGCACTTCGCCCCGTTTGTTCGCGCAGGTTTCTCGCGACAGCACGCGCGCAAGGAAGTTCGAGCGGTTTCGACGCGCGCGCGCGAAACCCTCTCGGCAGCATGTGATGATAATGCCGAAAACCAATGGTTTCCTTGACAAGCTGCAAGCGCGCAAGCTTTTTTTGTAAATCCGTGCTGCGAAACCATGTGACTGTATTATACGATGCTTCGACCCTCGATTTTGAAACCTTTCTACGAAACCGAAAGGCGTTTGAAGGGGCCGGCACGCGCGCGCGACGACGCGCGCGCGCACTTCGCTTCGCGTCTTGTTTTTTTTGGTGGGCAAGAAATTATTGGAAACTAACAATGATAGGTAAACAAGCGCGCGTAGTTCCGGTTGCAGAAGATGGCGGGGGGGGGGGCGATGCTGACTCGGCTGGGGCGGTATGAATTCATATCTACGATGGGCGACGGCGCAGAATCATGTGCAAATTGCAATACGCAAAAATTAACCGACAATCCCGGGCGGGGGTGAGTCTATTCTCTTTTAAAAAGGAGAACGTGCGCGGTGCAACCCAACAGTGAGTGCTAAATTCGAAGTTGCCCACTCCACCGCTCGCGCAAGAATCCCACCCATCCACCCACCCACCCGCAACTTGGTTTGCAAAACCCATGCGGTGGCGATTGCGATGAGTGCTCGGCGCTGGCTGGTCCACCTCCGCGGCCGCGCCAACCCAAGACCGCGCGGGCAGCGGCCAGCTAGTTTGGCGCGACCGACGCGGCCGCGGTGGCGCTGACCGCCAGGTGCACCCCAGCTGGCATTTCATTGCGAATCGGCGACATAGGCGGGCGCGGTACCACGGCAACGTCGACAGCGGTGGACACGATGATAATAGTAGCGATACTGGCGGCGATGTTGACAACGACGACGGCGCGGCCAGCGCGGGCGCCGATGCTGCTCACGTCGGCGAGGATGACGGCGCCCTCGCGTCGGCGACGTCGGCGCTGGAAAGAATTCAACATGCGCGCGCGACCGACGCACGAGAGCGGCCCGCATGGCATTCTGCGCCACGGATCGCGCGCCCCCCCCCTGCACGCGCGCGGGGGCGCGCGGATGACGTCGGCGTGCGGCGCCAGAGGCCCGCCTGACAGAATTCCATGAAAACGCTGAGAAACCGCCGGCTTTCTAAATAATTCGCAAAAGCGCGAACGCACCCTTTTTTGAATACGAAATATCCAGACCATGAACAGCGATCCTCTGTCGCATGGACAGATTGCAGGCAGGTCCGTCGAAAACACCGCGCGAACATCGACGGCCGACAGGCATCGGCTACCAATTTCTCGCGGCCACGTGGAAATTCACACTGAGTTCGCCGATGGCACAAGGCAAGCGCGAAGCGCTTCAGATCGGCAGAAATCCAAGCCAAACTCTCGCGACAGCGTGGAGCGAGCGCACCAGGAGCCGCGAAACTGTCGCTGCGAAACCACATGTTATCCAAATAAGCTTGCCCTTGAAAGTTCTAACCCAAACCCGACTCATTGGTCCGTCCCCCCCCTAATGCCCACGCCCCCCCCCCCCCGCATTTCCTATGTCTATGCTTCGCCTATGCCTATGCCTCCCCCCATAACTCCTACGCCTACGCCTATGCCTATGCCCATGCCTTTTCCTATGCCTATGCCTACGCACGTGCCTACGCTTATGCCTCTGCACCACCTCTGAGCGCTCCTTCCACCTCCCATGAGTCGCATGCATCCCCATGAATTTACATGCGCTTGCTTGCCCTTGCTTGCTTGCATTTGATTACTGGCTCTTGCTGGCTTGTTATTGCTCGCTTGCGTTTGCTTGCTTCCGCTTGCTCGCCTGCGCGTGCTTGATTTTGCCCCTCCCACCTCCCCCCCTGCCCTGCCCCCGCCCCCTTTCGCCCCCCCCCCCCCCCCCCCCCCCCCCACACACACACACACACACACACACACCACACGCACACACGCACACACACACACACACACACACACACCATCCTTGCCCCGTATTAGAATATACCCCCACCTACCTCGTATCCCGGCCGATAGCGGCCCAATCCGGGACCTCCCATGCGGACTATAAAACATCAATACAAAGTGACAGTTTTTTCTTCTCAACATCGTCTTTCTTGTCGTCGACGATGCGAAAAGCGCGGCAGGAATGGGGCGCGGCGCACATCGCGCGCGGCAATCAATCTGGGCCCGCCCATCCGGAGTGTAAAAAATCAATGCAAAGTCTTCGCTGTTTCATCTCAGCATGGCCTGCCTCGTCGCCGACAGTGCGAAATATGTGGCAACAGTGGGACGCGGCGCGCATATGGGACGCGGCGCGCATCGCGCGCGGCCGTCGATCCGGGCCCGCCCATCCGGACTTTTAAAAAATCAATACAAAGTCTCAGTCGTTTCCTCTCAGCATGGCCTGCCTTGCCGCCGACGGTGCGAAATATGTGGCTGGAATGGGACGCGGCGCGCATCGCGCGCGGACGTCCATGCGGGCTGCGGGCCTTCCCATCCTGACTGTCAAAAACAAAACAGAGTTGCCGTTTCCCCTTTCATCATGTCCTGTCTTGTCGTCGACGATGCGAAATGCGCGGCAGGAACGGGGCGCGGCGCACATCGCGCGCGGACTTCTGGGGCAACCCCAAGGCGGGAGGGGCCACCTTACTTGTCAGAAGCAATGCCATGCTGATTTTCGCTTGCCCACATAGCTGTTCTCGTCGTCCACCCCGCAAAAGTGCATGGCAAGAATTGGGCGCGGCGCACCCCCCCCCGCTCGAAGTGAATGAAATGACCTTCTCGCTTGGGCGCCGAGCGAAATTTCCTCAAAGTTGCGCTCCCGCTTAGGCTGGGCGCACGTTTTTAGCTCGCCAATTTATTGGGCGCCAGGGCGTTCCAGGAGGCCCTGGGGCGACGAATCCCTGGGAGGTTGTTGCTTGTTCAGGCTCTTGGAGGGCCCCCTGAGTCCCCCCGCGGTTTCTTGGCGCCACGGCCGTCTGGAGGCCATCTTGGGCGTCTTGGAACGATCTTTCGGCGACTCAGGGCAACTACTACTACTACTACTACTACTACTACTACTACTACTACTACTGATACTGGTACTACTACTACTACTACTACTACTACTACTACTACTACTACTACTACTACTACTACGACTACGACTACGACTACGACTACGACTACGACTACG